ATCCTTATAAAGAAATATATATAAACAGGGTCATCTAAGAGTTCTACTTAACCTTTTTCTAAAATCCTTACTACTATTCTTTGTACAATAAAAGATGAGCTTAAAAAATGTTGTGAAGATGAATTCACATCAAGCGATGTCGATTTATTAAAATTCAAAGGATCTTATCCAAAATGATCGAGCACAATCATTACTAGCATATTTTTAAAATAATTTCAATACAGGATTTTCTACAGTATATACTGCTATTGATCATCCTCAATTGAAAAATCCCCTACTCCTTCTTCATTTACCAGTCCTTTTCTAAAGGTAATCGTAAATACAAATTCCTCTTTTAGGTCACGAAAAAACGTACTTCTTGAAGAACCTTACTCCCCGAGGCACTACTGTGTTGACATTAATTATCATTCATATGGTCATAATTATAAATTAACTGTTAACAAAACTGAATTTTGCGAAATACTAAAATCTTTTTTCCCTAGGAATAGATTACCTTAGCTGTATTTGGCAAAACCTTTCGGAATTTCGGGTCCTCAATGCTCCTCAACTTCTTACATATTCTGGCCTTTTTACCTTTTGTATGGTCACTGATGAGTCTTTTGTAGACGAAAGGCGCGTCTGGCGTACACAATTGTAATCCCGATACCTATGATGAGTTTATTTACTGATTCTAACAACAAATACACCGACGACAATATCATTAAAATCCTGACAAAATAGACCGATATCACTTTCCCTAGTGTAAACTTCGAATTTCTTGATAGTAGCATACCCTCTGTCGCATCATATTGTGTCTACATATTACTGGAACGTTTCGCGTTTCTATGTTCACAGTATAGAGACTTCATTCATAGGTTTAATGTGTGGTCATAACACATATACTGCTACAGCGGGTTTTTTGAGAACTACTAGAATCGACACTATACCCAGTTTAACGGCCACCTTCACGAATTGGTCGACCGATACGACGTGTATGTGTTTTAACTCACGAGGTACATGTTATCGAGTCGTTCAAGTGGATCTTTAGATACCAGAATAGTCGTCTGATAAGTAATTCTATCGACTATGTCCACTCCCTATCGTGACTTATTGACAGTATGGCACTGTCTGGCATGTTATACATGAACTCCACTTGTACACCTGCATCATTCACGAGATCCTCCCAGTAGTTTCAGTTTTATTATATATCCAAAGTAAGCAACACGTTCCAGTCATTGTTTTTGCATGCGGACTTTAGAATGTTATGCATCGCAGGAGAAGCTTAACCTTTCCTGTATTTTAGTCCATCATTCGACTTATAAGCCACACACGCAAATGTAAATGTAATATAAATTATGCTCAATTCATGATTTGATTGATTTGATAATTAATATTTCTCACACAAATTCCATACTTAAACTCATCATAGATACCAGGATTAAAAAAAAACGGAAGCAGAGGAACAACATTTCTACGGATGTTCGTCATCAATTCAGTTAATGTTAATCATAATTCTACTTCATGACTCTTTTCCAAAGAGATTTTTTCGTATTCCTAAGCATATAGAATTGTGTGAGCTCATAACATCTTTTATTCATTAACTACTCTGTTATTGGACTTAATATGACGATAACTGCCTGTGCTATACAAATTGTCATCTCTGCCAATACAGAATAAGTCGGCCAATATTGACTTTTTTTTCATATTGGCCGAGTTCTGATCCGGCCAATACAGGATTTCGGAAAGTCTCTGGTTTTTTTTAGATCGAAAGTGATGTTGAACGCCAACTCAACGTAAACAGTCGTTTGGAAGACGCTGCTTTATTTACTCACCATAAACTTACCGAAACGTTTAGTGTGGCAAATATTTCAGGCTGAAAACAGGCACATTCATTTAAAAAAGCCTTTTGTAAGCAGAAAAGTTAACCATTTCAGGTATGGGCAACGAGTCTGTAAATTATCACAAAGTTCATTTGTTGCCCTCATAACAATTTAAAACATTTTATCAGTTTCATGGGTGAAAATCGATTTACTTTTTATTTTCGCTTCTCATGCTTTTGTGAAGTGTCATTTATTTCTCAAACCGAACGAGGCATATGCATTGTTGAAGGGTGACCTGTAGTTGTTCAAGTCTTTGTTCTTAGGTCAGTTGGTTTATGGATAGTCGTCTTATTGTCAATCATATCCAACTCTTATTTAATCCTTTTGTTTCTGCATCTCTCAGACAATGAATGACAGTTTCTTTCCAATTACTATTTGTTGCGTCAAAATATGAATTGTAACACTTTATAGTGACTGAAAAGGGTTTAAGAATAATCTAAATGTATAATATCTCGAAACAGTACCAGATAATTTGACATTGGAGCTTATAAAAAGACACTCAGATTGGGATAGTTCCATTTCAAGGTAAAAGATGTTCAAATGTTGTGAAAAGATATAAAACAAACAAAAAAGGCAAACACTGTAATCAATAAATAAAGATATCATTATGTGATTATTTCTGTATTGGCCTGGTTATTGGTCCTCGACCAGCTGCATTGGCCTTCGCCTCAGGCCAATACAACAAGTCTCGAACCAATAACAAGGCCATTACAGAAATTGTCACGTAATAATATCATAAGACTGGCTTATAGGACGACATTGAATGGAGTACTGAAGTTATCTATTGGCCGAGGTAATCGCGATTGTCATTGGATAACGGCAACAAATTAGTCTATGGCGCGAGAAGATCAAATTTATGCCTCCAAAGGGGTGGTCCAAAGTAAAAAAAACGCGTTCATCCTTTGTTTTGTTTTTCTAAAACAACCAACGCATTACATCGGTATTGAGTTATGACACAAAACGTACCTGACCTTAGCAAAAAAGATTAACAGCAGTTCAGGAATTAAAAAATACCCTAAATATCGTGTGTACATTTGCATGATGTTTCGTGTGATCTTTTAAGATTTTTTAGTTTGAAAAAAAATACTGTAAATTCAGAAATTATTGCGATGTTTCTATTATCGCGAAAAATGCGACAGGGTTATAATCGCAATAATTTAAACTCGCATTTTGAAATTTTTTATATGAATTAAACAGGATTTTTCTTAATATCGCAAAAATTAAAATCGCATTTTAGTCTAAAATGGCAAAATCGCAATAATAAATGCACGCAATAATTTCTGAATTTACAGTAGTCAGTCTTTTAGAAATGGAGGGTTCCTTTTATCACACGTATCGAAGGGCATTATAACAGGAAGATTTTTCTAAGCATCCGTCACTGACTTTTTGAACAAACAAATTATCTAAAATGTTGACTCTAATCTAGTATTTCTAATGGTTAAAGTTGTGTATTTCAATCTAACGTTTAAAGCAAATAACAATAATTTGACATTCTACAGTCCACTTGCAACTACAATGTACAAATGGCTGTGTCCAGTGTTTAGAAATTTCATGAAGCGTCGTAAGGTGTCTACATATTATTGATATGTTTCGCGCGTCCGTGTTCATAGTATAATACCATTCATAGGGGTGTGGTCATAACACAAAAATACTTCTACAGCGGGTTTTTGAGAACGACTAGAATCGACACTACACCAGATTTACGGCTACATTCATGAATTGGTCGTCTGATACGAAGTGTCTGTGTCTCAACTCATCAAATACATGTGTTCGTGTCGTTCAAGTGGATCTTTAGATAGCAAGATAGTCGTCTGGTTTGTTATTTTATCGAGTGTGTCCACTCGCTATCGTGACATTTTGACAGTGTGAAAGTGTAACAATGACTGTGTCCAGTGATTTCAAATTTCGTGACGCAAAAACCGCAAATATACGTTGACATTCCAACAGTTGCACGAGGAAGATACTCAGTTATGTAGTTGATTAAGTATTCTGAAAGTGTCACTAAATACCAGTCCAATATTTGGAAAAGGGGGGGGGGGTGTAAAGACTCGTGGCACAATCTGCACTTGGCAATTGTTCATTTACATTTTCTACATTTACACGTGACCATCTTAAAGGCGCTTTTTGACTGGATGCAGTCAATTACAACCGTAATCAATGGAATGTATTACTTTGTGGATCTGAAATTCTGACTTAATTTGCAAAGGGTGAAGAGGAGTGGACCGGATCGGAACTATTGGCTAGTGAAGATGAGTCCACTAGTACACATAAACGTATACTTTTCTTAACCTATCAACCACAGATTTGTTTCATAAATTCCTTCCAATCGTAGGTTTCAAGCAGCCATACTAAGCTAGTACTTGTAAGCAAAATAACATGTCGTTTTGGCTTTTTTGTATGTTTGTAGGTCAATATATTATACTTGTCAAAAGTAGATAACTTATTCACGGTTAATTGAAGATGTTTAAATAAATAACCTGACTTTAAATATTTGAAATGCAAATACACTTATTATAAGATTAAACATATTCAATATAAAGCGTTAGCACATGTACCATCTGTAGATCCTTCAATATAACTCGTTCCGGTTATAATAATAACATAATTGGCGACCGTAAAACAACGTGCGGGAAACCAAGATGAATGAACTAGTTAATTTACGACAATTACTGTTTCGATATGGTTCTCCTTACCACCCATTTTTGTCATATTCTCTTATCACCAAAGAGTGGATATACGAGCTTCAATCCTTTAATTTTATATTTTCTCTTCTGATTGGTTACTTAATGTCATTTTTTATTTATGGGCTTTCAACAATTTTTTTGGCTTTACACTTTAATAAGAATATATATACATATAAGAGACATACATGAGACAGTCTTTCTATACAAAATATAAATAGTGTATACGTTATTTACACTCTCCCTCCGAAGTAATCTGTTTCCATAACAGTACATCCTACTTTCATTTATATGTGTCGATCAATGGCTATACTACTGCTAAAATAGCAAAAACTATTAAACAGTCTTGCTGTACAAGATAAATTCATTCGTGCTTGATTGTTCTTCATATCCACGGCACTGCTATACAAGGATAGCCGATGGACTTCACTTTGCCATCATTTTTTTATTAGCCTCCCTATGTGTCATATTTTCTTATCGACATGCTGTTAACATCAAGACGTTGATCGACAAGATTTAATCCTTTAACATTGACCTAGATTGTATCGCCTTTCTGCAAGTTTAGATTAACATTAGCCGTCACAGACCTCTGCATGTGTGCTGGAAGAACTTCAGGGATATACCGGTTTCCCTTCCTGTCTCTGCTGTTCAAAATACACACAGATAGAGTGACTGGATATTTATTTCGTCTGTTATCCAAATTAAACGTTACATCGATTGAATACGATGCAGGTTGAAGCACGCAAATCGTTGTGCCATTCCCTTCTAATACAACGAAAGTTGCGTCGATGGGTCTCCATGGAATTTTCCCAGATGTAGTTTCAACACTATATAAATCAAAGTTGACATTTAGATTGACAAACGTCGATTCCTGTTTTGACACATGACTTGCACAATTTTTGTTGCATATGAAGTAACATACTAGTCCAATAATAACTAGTTGTAAAATATGAGGAGAAATTTTTTTAAATTGTTTTGATATTTTGTGTTTCATCGAAGATTGTACATTTTTGTCTGTCTCCTTTTCAGAATTGTCGATCAAACTTATCTTTTCTGGCTGTATAGCAGACGCGTTTTGGGATGTATCAACAATTCTGTGTACCTCTGAACTAGTTGAATTGATGTGAGAGTTTGTGTTAGTAAAAGGTTTTGTATTCGTTCCACTGGGGACAATTTCATCACACGATATGAGTACTCTGTGGGATTCTTCCGATAATTGTATGGAGTTTGGTAACAGGGTGTTGTGTTCACTGCTGCGTTCACAGTCTGAAATATATATAATATTAATTTTTAGTATATGTCTTGAATTAATTTGTAATGAAACAAATACAAAAAAAAAATCTGTTTTCCATCCCTGCAGAAACGATGTCGCAAGAGATGTACCAAACTTGACATCATGGTCGAATTGTAGGTTTTGAAATAGGTTATCTATCAAGTTTATCATGTTTAAAAAAACGTCACAAGGCTCAACTATATACTAGAAAATATGAAGTACAATTAAGCCTCGACTTTGCGCTGAAATGTAAAAAATGCTAAATGCATTACACAAATTTTATATATAGATAAACACCAAGTTTTACCATAATTTTCAAACCCTTTAATTGGTATAAAATCAAGTCCTGGTCATTCGATTTTTTTTCCTTCCCCCAAACTGACTAGGAACTGAGATGACATACGATATTTAGCAACTGTTTATCGGCGACGGCAATATTCCCATGACCGTACTCTAATAGCGGCGATGAAATTTCTTGTAAAAATAAGTGTTTGGTATAATGTGCAGGATGAAATATATTTAATTGATACCTTTCGTTCTGTATACAAGACATTCGTACCCGTTCACGTCCACTTTGTGTTTTTGTTAGATGTATTTCTATTTGAATCCATCTGATGAGTTAAGCCTTTTTCAACTGATTTTTACAGTTTGTTCTTATGTTTTAATGTCCCAGGTTCGGGGAGGGTTGAGCGCTCACAAACATGTTTAACCCAGCCGCATTCTTTATGTGCCTGTCCTAAGTTAGGAGCCTGTAGTTCAGTGGTTGACTTTGGATCATGTCTGTCATATTTGTTTTTCGTAAACTGTTTTGTTATAAATTAGAACGTTGGTTTTCTCAATTGAATTGTTTCATATTTTTCATGTCGGGGCCTTTTATATCCGACCACACGGTATGGGTTTTTTGTTCATAGTTGAAGGCTGTACGGTTGCCTTTAATTGCTTACATCCACTTCAATTGAACTTTGGTGGATAGTTGTCTCATTGGCAATCATACCACATCTCCTTATTTTTATATTTATCTATTTCAAAGGAAAATGAATTCGATTACCCTAATAAAACAGAACTTTAATGGAACTAAATTATATCATATTTAGACATGCAGGACTTCGGAAACTGCTGGTTCAAAACTATTGAAAACATGAAGAAGATACTACGGGCAAATACTGATTACACTATTCAATATACCACGTTCTTATGATTCTCGCTACATTTTCGAAGTACACATTTTCACTCAAACTGACACATTCAAAGCAAAAAAAAAAGTTAATCGTAAATTAATCATGTCAATTTCCTTAAAATGCTTCAAATTATATCCTCACTTACCATTCTTTATATTGTGATTCAGTAAAAATACAGAATCTTACCAGATTTGGTTGTTATCTTAAAGGTTTGATCAGTAAATGGTGTAGTATGTTCATTTTGGATATAAGTAGAAATGTCGTTTTTATCCATAATCTAAGACAATTTTCTTTCGTCCTCTTTGCAATAAATAATTACTTGTGAACAAAACCATGCACTCGTAACATGTTTATATGTTTAACGACGAAGGACGACTTATTTTAGAATTTCTAGAAATAATCCATTTTAAGATGTGGAAAACCACTCTCTATGTTTACTATTGTTGTGTTTATTTATAATATGATCTATTTTAGAACGTCTGTTTTCATATTCTTCCTTATAGAGGAGCGTCGGAGAGGACAATTTTAGAAATTTAAATTACCTCCATATCTCATGGCATTAAAATAGCTCATTTGAAAGCTTAAATCGTATACTTTTTGAATATATGTGTCGTAAATATGAAAGCTGGTACCATCATGCCTTAAATCAAGGACAAAGGTCATCACTTAAAAATTTCTTTTTCTTCATCTAGAGAAACAAACTGCATTTTTGTTTTTTAAATCTAGAATACTTTCAATAAATTATATAATTACAGTTATTTATCAATGCTTAAGTTCCGATATAGATGTGTTTTATATTTGCGCATGACGTCAGAATAACGTATTATTCAACTTTTTCGAAGGTAACACGTTTGATGGAAATTGCAAAGCCTAATAAATAGCTGCAACAGAATGACCTTGATCTTCTACCTCGATAAATAGCATTTCTGGACAAGATATACAAACATTTGAAAATAATATATATAAAAAGAGTATCCAAAAAACATTGTCAATAAATCAAACAACATTTGCAGGTTAGATTTCGTCTCAGTTTTCCAGGATTCGAAATGTCACGGAGTTTTCTTGAAAACATTTCCCTCTGTTTGTCTCAATACACGATAATTTTTCAAATGATACAAGAAGCATGAGTTATTGAAATGACAATTACGATTAACTTTCATTCGACGGTACTGTAGTGAATTCAAGTGGGTTTGATGACAAATTAAAAAAGTCAGACATAACCGTTTTCATATACAAAATGAAACGTCCAAAAAAATATAGAAAGCTATGCTAAAATTCACGTACGACATGAACGAGGAACACCCCAATTTAGTTAGAAAATAATTCCAATAAATAATGTTCGTGATATGTCATCTGTGTCATCAGCTATGTCGGCGGATACGGCAAGTACATTATTACAATTACCTACATTTTGATAATACACAAATTCGTTCAAGAAATATTGATTGATTGATTGTTGGTTGATTAACATCCAGTGGCAAATTGTCATTCATGTTCAGGACGAGAACACATCAACAATAAATACAATAGGTAGGTCCTGTAACAGAGGACGTCCGGGATGAAGGTCGGGGAAATTTAGACTGCCACTGGAATATGAGGGTATATTTGATAGAGACAACAATTTTGCCTTGCAATAGGCCACCTACGACTCTTTCACTAAGAAATCTTACGACTAAAATTAATCGTAAGATATACTCAAATGTTCATGACTTACGGGTAATTTTTTCTCGTAACATTGTTTTAGAAATGAGTCGCTGCTCCATGTTAACACCTGCTGCCTGCACATGCTTTCCCCCTTACACGATCAAACAATGTCTTGTTGAGAGTCTGATGTCATTTGTCCTTCAAAGAAAACTTGCTTTTACTTGTCATTTTGCTATATTTTCCAACTAAATTTACATGGCAACATTTGCCTACACCAAAACTTTGCTTTGTTATAGTGCACGTACAAATGAAGTACGTGTTGCTTAAACACTAACTCACGTGGCGGCAGCTTTATTACACTCTTATTTTTATATATAGCCAACTGTTGTCTTAGCTAATTTAAATTGTTGTGCGATTTATTGAACTTGTATTTTAAGTCGTATAACGCAGTAACAAACACTTTAGCATCATCTATAGCACTATCAACATCACCGCGTGCTAATGCTAGAAGATTACTGAAGTGGCTTGCTTTCGTCATAAGGAGGTTGCATACCGACTTTTTACCGATTCCACACAAACTGTGAAATAAAATCCACTCTAGGCATGAATGATCGTCAGAATTTCGATGAAAACTGGGTCAAAATACGAAACGGTGGCGTGAACTATGAAAAATCGTCTGTTATCCTTCAAGCTGTCAGTGGAACCAGTCTGAACACATACTTCTTAATTTTGTAATTTTAAGCATCAGGTAGAAAATCATGGAAAATCATTGTGGATTTTGCCTCTTCATGATTACAGCGTGAAGTCGGACAGCTGATAACATTATTGTATGTCGGCTTTTTAACTTTTTTCGATATTGCTTTGATGTTATTCGCGGCTTTAAATGTGTCGCCAATAGAAATGACGCTTGCAAATTAAATGTTCGATTTACCATGTCCTTGTTTAGAAAAGAATACTACGACATCTATGTAGTGCTTCTTAAGTGTAGCTTTGAGTCTTGAGTAATTGCAGTAGATTTAACTAATGTTATTTGGTAAGAAAGACTGGTACATTATCAACATTAGTTAAATAACAAGATTCTCTTTGTAACGAATAATGACTTTGTCTATAATTTTAACTACTCTTTGTGTAATTTGGTCTTTATGCCAAGCATGTGGTCAAACATGCAGCATGATAAACTGCGTTATTGAGCAAATTCTCATGCTTTATTCGGTATATCATTTCAGCGTCGCCTGCTCTAACATTTAGATTTGCTAATCTTCCAGCATGATATGTAATGTTTTCACTTTCTTTGAGAAATTTTCTTGCAAATTAAAATTGCACTTTAATGTATCGAGAGGCCAGGTCAACATTACTTTCAACCAACAAAGAATTGGACAAATCTGGCTTCATATCTGGTGCTGCAGCATTTTATAATAGCAGACTTTTTTTCTAGATGAAAACTTTTCTGTTGATTTTCTTAAAATTTCAGCAAATACAAAGTTGCACGTAATGTATTTGTCAACTCCAACTGAAGAGCACCTTTTCTTGGCATCGGACGGAGCCAGTTTTAACGACTTAGTGTAATTGTCCTTTTACTTGAATATCCAACAGATCGAACACACCTGAAAACCAAACGCATCCTCCAATGATTGTCACTTTCACAGTTAAATTCAACAAACACGACTAAACAACAATACCTAATAATATAAATAAATCGTAAAGCTTCAGAAATTCTAAAGTAAACAAGAAAAACGCGTGATAATAACTACAAATGACCACCATAAAATTGCTTAATGTGGGTTAATAACTAGAAACCAGAACAGCGTCGGTTCATGTTTGACAAATATCCAGAATAGGTGAAAAGCAGTGATTTTTTTATGTGTTTTTCACAATTTTCAGATGCTCTGTGCTTTAAATATAGCACTCATTAAAAATGCCCTTATAATGTATGTTAACCAATTTAGTTCACACATCATGTTTAGAAAAGGATTAATTATGAGATTTGTCTATCGAAACAGTAGTAGGGTCTTCGGTGATAGTTTGGTAACGTCAGTTAAGGTAAGTTTAACGTCATTGTCACCACATTTGATATTTACGACACTTATTTTTTTTTAAGTTGAATAATCGATAGACATTTTAAGACATTAATATTCTGTGGGGTATTTAGGTAATATAAACTCGTTAACTATGCGTCTTTTTCAACATTCGCCGCTCCACTATTAGAAATCGTGACTTACTTTGTTAAGGATTTTGGAACAAAACAGTTTAGATGTAATATTATACATTTATTTCCCGTGCCTGAGGGAGATATGAAGATTTGTTCACCCAAGAAAATTCATATTTCCCGAGTGCCATGCCCGAGGGAAATATGACTTTTCGAGGGTGACGAAATATTCATATCTCCTTAAGCTAAGGGAAATGAATGTTTTATTCCACTGCCTATACTTTATATATAAATAAGTACATGAACATAAAACATTGATTTACATACATTTTTCTTTACCGCTTGTTTTCATAGCTAAACACAACATAATTTAAAACATAGATAAACAGTACCGATCAAAAGATAACTATTATTTTTGTTTTCATTTTAAGTCTGAAATAATTTTGAACTAAGTGACTTGATCATCTATACAAATTTGTTAAAATCAATCGGATCCAGGACCAATCCAGTATATCTTATCATAACCCTTCGTTTTTAATTCAATTTTCTATGTGCATACATTTAGAGTAATTAAGAGTTGTAAACTCAGTGTATGATAAATATTTCCGGTTATGGAATACATTCTTCTGCATTTATTTCCATATTTTTCTAGAAATTCACAATTGCATGTTTGTAGTATAATTATTGTGTGTGTACTAAAAAAAAGGTGTTTCGGTTATGGTCATGTAGACCTAGGCTTATCCTCATCAGGTATCCCTAGCCTATATGTTTCCTCCTTTGTAATATGTAGAATAGTTCCAATTTGATTTCTCTTATGGGGATACGACACCTGTTTATACAATCGTTTTTTATCTTTTTTTCTTCTTTCTGTTTTTGTGGTATTGTTTCCTCTTTTTTATTTATAAGCTCTTCAATTAGTTTATTGTTCGTGATATTGTTTTCTTTTTATTGATTTCATCTGTTTATATATTTTTTTCTTCTTTGAATTCGTTAAATACTCTTTCAGATTATTATGTCTGTTAGTATGTAAAACGTTTCCTCATTGCTTTTTATACTCTATTTGAGAGATTAGATATTTTTTGTTATTCTATTTGAGAACAATATAGTTATTAAAGCAGTCTCTATTTGAGAGATCACTTTATTTTTGCTTTTCTATTAATAGCAGTCTCTATTTGAGAGATTATTATATGTTCTTTTTGAGAATAACTTGTATTAATAATCTCTATTTGAGATATGATTATTACTGTTTTTTTCACAAAAATAAAAAGCAGTCTCTATTTGAGAGATTACTTATTTTTTGCTATTCTATTAATAGCAGTCTCTATTTGAGAGATTATTATATGTTGCTATTCTATTTGAGAATAATTTGTATTATCAATCTCTAATTGAGAGATGATTATTACTGTGTTTTTTTTAACAAAAACAAGACACAACAGTCCTTACTTCTTATGTTATAGCGTTAATGTAGATCCTGCTCTGTGTGATAGATAAGTATGTGTATTTTATTAGTCAAAT